GGTGTCTCCCCGGTGGCCCTTCTCGAAGTGACTCGGTAAGCCCAGATGATATGTGGCAACTCCTCTAGCCAATTTGTTCCTGCCTCACCCAACCGCTTTTTAATCCCATCGACTATTGTGCGGTTCGCATTCTCCACCTGACCATTCCCTTGCGGGTAGGCCACGGAAGCCTTGTTGTGAGTAATCCCGAAGTCCTCCAAGTATTTGGTGAACCCTGGATTCCGAAATTGAGGCCCGTTATCCGTCACAATGTTTCGAGGAGACCCGAACCTGGTGATTATATTCTTCCAGACGAAGCGCTGGCACTGCTTGGTTGTGATGGTTGCATATGCCTCGGCCTCCACCCATTTTGTGAAGTAGTCGATAGCGACCATGACATACTTCTTCCTCCCTTGAGCTTGAGGGAAGGCCCCAATGATGTTCATCCCAAACCTTGCGAATGGAATAACATTAGAAATTGGGTGGTAGTATGTCGCAGGCCTTCCCGGAAACTTGTAGAACACCTGGCAAGTCTTGCACCTTTGCACATACTTCTCACAATCTTGGTTCATTGTAGGCCAGAAATAACCTAGCAAGATGATCCTTTGTGCGAGTGTCCTGGACATTTGGTGGGCTGCGCAGACACCCTCATGAACTTCGGCGATCACAATTTCCGGCTCTGCCCTGGTCAAGCACCTGAGCAATGGACCACCAAATGCTCTTTTGTATAGCCTTCCATCAAGCATTTGGAATCTTGGAGCCCTCAACTTTACTTTTCTTACCATATCCTCATCCTCAGGGAACTGCCCGGTCATATAGTACCTGACCAAGTCATCTATCCAAATATCATCTGGCTCCACTCGATCTGGATTGGGCTGTCCATCTTCCTCTATCATGCTAACAGAAAACCCTTCAATGCTGGCTTTCTCCAGCGTCTCAATCCTGGCCAGCTTAGACACATGCTCCGGGGCTGCTTGCGTCAATTTTGATAGCAAGTCAGCATCAGTGTTTTCCCCCCTAGGGATTTGCTCCATCACGTACTCAGTCAGATCCTTCAATAATGCCCTTGCCAAGTCTCTGTACTTCTGCATCTTCTCTCCTTTGGCCTCCATGTTGCCATTGATGTGGCCTACCACCAAGCTTGAGTCGGATTTGATCCTGAGGCAGGTGATTTGTAGGGTTTTGGCCAATCTCAGACCCCCTATCAATGCCTCATACTCAGCCTCGTTGTTTGTGAGCTTGAAATTGAAGATCAAGGCATGATATACCTTGAACCCTTCCGGAGTTGTGAATACTACACCTCCCCCGTA